TCTCACCAAGTTGCCCGGGTGGGTCTCGAACCCGCAGACTCAGGCAATCCACTCACCTCAACCTCCCAAAGGCACGGGATTACAGGCTGAGCCACTGAGCCCAGCAGAAATGGCTTTCTTTCTCGGGTCCCTAATCCAACCTTATCCCCCACATTGGTGGAGGAATTCTTGCTAAAATTCTTTTTATCTTTCTGCTTCTTGCTTATGAATCTAGGTACAATTCTAAGACTGCATATTCTGGTCATCTCTGGACTTGCTTATATTATGTTTGATTATTTTGACAACCACCTGCCTCAGCAACATTATAACCACTAGAAATTAAAAATCAAGGTCAGATTTCAATGTTTATTTGTTCAAGTATTTAAGGGAATTGGAAGTTATGGAGAAACATTCCAGATGTTTTGGTGATTGTTTTAATATACACTGGAAGAGCCATTTTAAATCTACATGTGTCTGCTTAGAAAACAGCTAAAATAGAGTGTTTGAAAACTATATGTAGCAGGCTCCTGAAAGGCAATGAGAAATTTAGACAAAGCCCCTCTGAATGAGAATGGAGTGACAGGAAAATGGAGGGTATGAGTTTGTTCAGGCTACCATAACAAACACCATGACATAGGTGGTTTAAACAACAGAAATTGATTTTTCACATAGTTCTGGAGGCTAGAAGCCCAAGATCAAGGTGTTGGCAGGTTTGGTTTCTGCTGAGGCCTCCCTCTCTGTGTCGCAGGTGCATGGCTTCTCACTGTGTCCTCACATAGGCTTTGCTCTGGACATGTGCATCGCTGGTGTCTTCCTCTTCTTATAAGGATGCCAGTTGTATTGGATCAGGCCCCTCCCATATGACCTCATTTAACCTTTTTTTTTTTTTGAGTTGGAGTCTCACTCTGTTGCCCAGACTGGAGTGCAGTGGCACACTTCCAGCCACCGCAGGCTCGACCTGCTGGGCTCCGGCGACCCTTCCGCCTCCGCCTTCCAAGCAGCTGGAACTACAGGCGCGCGCGCACCACGCCCGGCTAATTTTTGATTTATTGTAGAGACGAGGTCTCACCAAGTTGCCCGGGTAGGTCTCGAACCCATGGGCTCAGGCAATCCACTCGCCTCGGTCTCCCAAAGTGCTGGGATTAGAGGCTGAGTCACTGAGCTTGGCCTCATTTAACCTTAATTACGTCTTTAAAGGCCCCACTTTCAAAACCAGTCACATTGGGGGTTAGGACTGCAATATATAAGTTTGGGGGGAGCAAGTAAGGCCATAACAGGGAGTTAGCTTTGTTGCATAAAACCGCAATATACCTATACGGAAACTTCTTTAACGCTTTCATAACACTCACTACTGATTTACAAAAAAGAATCAGACTGTGACTAGGAGTGGCCTTTCCTACTGCCTGAGACTATCTCCTGTCTTTTCTTCCAGAAGCAAGCAGCAGCAACAGCTCAGACTTGACTGCCCATCATGCAGATGCCGGAACCCCACAGCAGTGCCCCAGTAAGCTTCTCCTGCCAATTGCCCCCACCCCAAAGCTGGGAGAGAAATAAAGCCTCCTTGCTTTCCGTTGACTGGCCACTTGCCTGCCTGGTCTTGCCATGCCCTGATGTGATTTGTCCCAGAACTGTCTGCAGAGCAGGTCTAAAAAGCTATCTTCGCTTTGATCTCCACCTAGGCACAATCTTTGGCACAGGTGGCTTGAATGAACCAGTCCCAGATCAGCAGTCAAAGATACCCTGAGTTCAAATGCTTGAAGAAGTTTGGAGGTAGAAAGGCCATAAAAATCCAACTCAGTCCAGTGCAAGAGTTTGACTTTGGAACCCTTTGCATATTTCTGTTCTTCCTCTTTTTGCATACTTCCATTGGCGAGGAGCTCAGTGATTCATAGAGCAGCAACTGTTATACATGTCTTCATGAGTAGAAAGCTGAGCTTTATTTTTGTCTGGCTGCCTTTATCCTGCCCTCATTGGATAACCAATGAGCACTTACAAAGAAGGGTAATAGGTGGTAATATGTAGAGGCTAAGAATGTGACTTTGGAGTCCTGCAGACTTGGGTTTCAGTTCTACTTCTGCCATCTTGTCACCAGAGGCAAGTTACAGCCTCAGTTTCTTCATGTAAAATGGGAATAAAAATAGCACCTGTCACTTTGTGAGGGTGAATAAACTAACATGTAAAAGCGCTCAGCAGAGTGCATGGCATGAGGAGGGCTTAGCAATGTTGGTGATCATGTTACTATTGTTCTTGTTAATCTCAGTTTGGAGAAAGCAGGGCAGGGCTGATGACGCACCCCATCACCCTTTCTCTCCCTTCCCCACCAGACGTCGACTTCTGCCCACAAGCAGCCCGGTGTTGCCACGCTGGAGTGGATGAGTATGGCTGGATCGCGGCGGCAGTTGGGTGGAGTCTCTGGTTTCTCACCCTTATCCTGCTCTGTGTGGGCAAATTAACGAAGCTGACTCCAGATGATCCCAAGGACTTGCAAGTGTGAGACTGAGACCCGGAACCCAGGAATGGCGGTGGCCACCCATCTGTGGATAAAAAGGGTGGGAGTAGGGCTAATGTGACTTCTGGTATTTTAAAGTCCTGTTCACTCTTAAGCTGCAGTCACTTTTAAAAGGAGAGGAAGAAAGAGAGGGAGAACCAAATAAGATGTGGCCAGTGCTGCCTTCTCACATAACTCCAAAAGGCACTGGGGATCTTCTATACCCCAATAAACTCCTTTTTCAAGAATGTCCCCATGGGAACTGTTCCTATTTTAACCATAGCTTTCTTCTAGGTGCCAACGGAGGTGCACAGGAAACATAACTTTTAGTCAATGAATCTATAACCTTTTTATCAAAAATAAGTCATTGGCTCTGGCCCCTTACTTGAGTCAAGGGCAAAACAGTCATTTCAAAATGTGAGACTCACCCTTGACAGCCCCCCTTCACCCTCACACCTGGCCCTTCTCCAGCTCTTGTTCTTGCTGCATCCTGTCTTCCGTGGCTTTCTTGTCCTACCCGTTCTCTTCCAACACCCTCGTTCTGGCCTTCACTGCCTTTCTTTTCTGGTTTTTTTTGAGTTGGAGTCTCACTCTGTCGCCCAGACTGGAGTGCAGTGGCCGCTCCCGGCCACCGCAGCCTCGACCTGCTGGGCTCCGGCGATCCTTCCGCTTCAGCCTTCCAGGTAGCTGGAACTACAGGCGCGCGCTACCACGCCCGGCTGATTTTACAGCCTTTCCTTAGACTGTGTCAGGGATATTTCCTTCTGTCCTCACTACCTTTGGCACCTTCCCCCCAGCTCACACTGTCCCTCCCCTGCTGTCCGCTGTCAGTAGCTCCTGAGGATTAAACGTCTCAGCCTGTCATTTGGCTATTTTGTGAGAATCCAAACATCTTTCCAGCTGTCTCCCAACACCTTCGGGAGTAAGGGTTGTGGCTGGTCCTCTCCTCATCCTGGTGTCTTCAACTTCTCTGCTGCCACTTCCTCTACTGAGACGGCTGCCTTCCCACTCCCTCCGGAATGAAGGTTGTCCTCCATGTCCAGCCCAAATGTTTGACCTGCTGGGAGACTTCCTGGATCGTCCTTGGGTGACCCGAGGCGGGAGCTCTTAGGGCATTCTGCTCTGCCCTTCACAATCAGTTTATCCTCCTCACACTCCTGGGGCACAGTAAGTTAGGAGTATTTGTCATATGAGTGAAGAGATGAATGAATGCTTGCATCCTTGCCCTAGATGATTTATGATTATCATTCTGCATTAGGAACCTCCATTTTTCTCCAGATGGTTGAAATAGCCAATCTCTGAAGAAGCTGGAGGTTTGGTCTCTGCTTTCTCAGCAAATCACAATCATATCACTTGGCATGGAGAGTGGATGCCACACATCACGGTGAACCCTTCCAGGGAGGGAGTCAGGCTTATCAGAAGGAAGAAACGGCAAAAAGACTTCATAAAACAATTTCTGCCCTCTGTGAGGAAACGTGTTTAGATCAGGTAAACTCTAAGCAGTCAAAATACAAAAAAGTAAAATGAGTGACCTCTGAAATAGGAAGAAACATATCTGTGAGGAGGCAATGACTCCACACTGCTCATTGCTCTTTCAGAAAATCAAAGGAAATTTCTCTGACAACAGGAACTGAAGGGATCACCACTGATTCATCTTGTGGTCTTCCAAAAAGTAATTTCTGAATCTCAGATATTTAATCAGAAAAGTGGGATGAATTTCTCATTCCTAAGTGTGGAATGACCATGTATATAGAAGCATCTGCATACTGCCCAGAGCATTTTTGTGAATATACACATGAGCATGTGTTCATGTTTTTGGAAATTCAAGGAAAGAGCATCCACAATACATGATGGTTTATTTCCAAAAGGATGAAAAGGTTCATTAAGGAGCACACTTTGATTTAGTATCTGCAGACATTTAAAAAATAAAACAGTGTATGATGTAATAGTAAGAGTACTAGCTTTATTTATTTATTTATTTATTTTTAAAATTTTTTTTGAGTTGGAGTCTCACTCTGTCGCCCAGACTGGAGTGCAGTGGCCGCTCCCGGCCACCGCAGCCTCGACCTGCTAGGCTCCGGCTATCCTTCTGCCTCAGCCTTCCAAGTAGCCGGAATTACAGGCATGTGCTACCACGTCCGGCTGATTTTTTTTAAAATTTATTGTAGAGATGAGGTCTCGCTGCCCAGGCGGGTCTCGAACCCGCGGGCTCAGGCGATCCACTCACCTCAGTCTCCCAAAGGCGCGGGATTATAGGCTGAGCCACCAAGCCCGGCTAAGAGTACTAGCTTTAAGAAGAGGGGAATTAAGATTTATTTCTAGCTGGGTATGGTGGCTCATGTCTGTAATCCCAGTACTTTGGGAGGTGGAGGCAAGAGGATTGCCTGAACTCAGAGGTTCGAACCAACCTGGACAACTTGGTGAGACCTCATCTCTACAATAAATTAAAAAAAAGTAGCCGGGCATGATGGTATGTGCCTGAGTTCCAGTTACTTGGAATACTGAGGTGGAAGGATCACCTGAGTCGAGGCTGCAGTGGCCATAAGTGTGCCACTGCACTCCAGCCTGGGTGACAGAGTGAGACTTCGACTAAAAAAAAAAAAAAGGAGATGTATTTCTGGCCAATGAGAACAGAAATAAATCATTTAATCTTAATGGGCACCAATTTTCGGACAAGAAAAATGTAAGAATTGGACCCAAACAGTGGTTTCAAGTTCAGCTGCAAGAATTCACGGAGCCATTCAGGAAGGGGCATGGGATTGAGGCCCACTGTTCTTTCAACCTGAGCATCTGGTCTCTAGGCTCTTGTCTCACACATCAGATCTCGTGGTTAGTCTGTATCTGCTGCTTGTCTAAGCAAAGGGTCAGAGCACCAGGTGGTGTCTGAGATGCCCTCCAGCCCATTCCAGGGAAGATTCTTAGATACCTTGAAGTGAAGTCCGCGCAGTCTCTGCCATCTCACACTAAAACATAGGCATTTTTGCAGCCATGTGTGGAGGCTCACGTCTGTAATCCCAGCACTCTAGGAGGCGGAGGCAAGTGGATTGCCTGAGTTCAGAGATTCGAAACCAGTCTGGGCAACTTGGCGAGAACTTGTCTCTACTATAAATCAAAAAATTTGCTGGGTGTGGTGGCACGTCCCTATGGTTTCAGCTACTTGGAAGGCTGAGGCAAGAGGATCACCTGAACCCAGCAATTGGGGCTGCGGTAGCCGTGAGCATGCCACTGCACTCCAACCTGGGCAACAGAGTGACACTCTGACTCAAACAAATAAAAAATAAATAAAAGAAAAAAAAGCAGGCATTTTATGAATTGCTTTTCTTCCATCTGCACAAGAGGAAGAATGGACAAAATCAATACACCCCTCTTTTCTTTGAGACTGGAAAGAAAGACCATTATATAATTTCATAGTTTTACTTTCCAGATACCACATCTCAGCTTTATTCTCCTCATGGAGTCTCTTGATTATAGCAGCACAACAATCTGTCAATTAGTTAAAAAAGAAAATCTGAGAGGGAATACCAAGCATCAATTTCCAGGGATTTAACAACTTTCTAGTTTAAAGCAACAGAACTTACCTAATGGTAGATAAACTTTTCATTTTAAAATAAATATTAAACATGAAGGTATGGCACAGTTAATTGATTTTTAAAATTTGTCATTTAAAAATCTATTCCTGCCGGGCTCGGTGGCTCAGCCTGTAATCCCACGCCTTTGGGAGGCTGAGGTGAGTGGATTGCCTGAGCCTGCGGGTTTGAGACCCGCCTGGGCAGCAAGACCTCATCTCTACAATAAATCAAAAAATCAGCCGGGCGTGGTAGCACATGCCTGCAATTCCGGCTACTCGGAAGGCTGAGGCGGAAGGATCGCCGGAGCCCAGCAGGTCGAGGCTGCGGTGGCCGGGAGCAGCCACTGCACTCCAGTCTGGGAGACAGAGTGAGACTCCAACTCAAAAAATAAAAAAAATTAAAAATTAAAAAAATTAAAAATCTATTCCTGGTCTGGGCATATAGTGACTCATGCCTGTAATGTTAGCATTTTGGGAGGCCAAGGCAGGAGGATTGTTTGAACCCAAGAGTCTGAAGCTGTAGTGCACAGTGATTGTGCCCGTGAATAGCCACTGAAGTCCAGCCTAGGCAACATATACTTTGTCTCTAAAAAAAAAAACATTAATCAAAAACAAGTCTTAGGATAACTTGGGCCTTATCTTAGTCAGTTCACACTGCTATAACAAATTATCATAGACTGGGTGGCTTATAAACAACAAAAATTTATTTCTCACAGTTCTGGAAGCTGTAAGTCTGAGATCAGGGTGCTGGCTGCCATCTTCTCACTGTGTCCTTATGAGGTGGAAACAGGGCCAAGAAGCTCCTGGAAGTCTCTCTCTTTTTTTTTTTTTAGCTGGGCTCTCACTCTTTTACCCAGGCTGGAGTGCAGTGGCACAGTCGTGGCTCACCACAGCCTCAGACTCCTGGGCTCAGGTACTCCTCCCAAGTAGCTTGGACTACAGGTGTGTGTCACCACAGTCAGCTAATTTTTTTCTTTCTTCTCTTCCTTTCTTTCTTTCCTTCCTTCCTTTCTTCCAGAAAGAAGGTCTTGCTAAGTTGCCCAGGCTGTCTCAAACTCCTGGGCTCAAGCAATTCTGACTCTTCAGTCTTCCTAAGTGCTGGGATTAAAGCTGTGAGCCACCTTGCCCAGCCTGGAGTCTTTTTTTATAAGAATACTGACTGGGCTGGGTGACTCAGCCTGTAATGCCAACACTTTGGGAGGCTGAGGTGAGTAAATTGCCTGAGCCTGCCAGTTTGAGACTAGCCTGGTCAACTTGGTGAGACCTCATCTCTACAATAAATACATTTAAAAAAAAATTAGCCAGGCATGGTAGCATGCACCCATAGTTCCAGCTACTTGGAAGGCTGAGGTGGAAGAATGGCCGGAACCCAGCAGGTTGATGCTGGAGTGGCCGTGAGCATGCCACTGCACTCCAACCTGGGTGACGACAGACTGAG